CATCTCAGCCTGGAGTCGCTAAAGACTCGCATCATGACAGCATGGGAGGACAGAAAATGTCCTGCGTCGTCAAAACCCGCTGGCGTTTCCGCCCTTGCGTCGAGGCCGTCGCCGGCACAGACGGTGGTTACAATGAATGGGTACTTAGCAGAAGCATATGGCTTGGTGTTCGTGGACTGTTTTGTTCTATTGTTGAGTATCTATGGACCAAAGGCAATAATAAAAAAAAAATCTTGAAAAGCGCCAGGACTTTCCGGACACCCTGTATACCATATTCAGGAAAGTAATCTTGAAAGTAATCTTACCATTCAGGCGACGACGTCTACTGACATCTAGCGGGCGGAGGTGTAAATACTCTTGATGATCGCTGCGGTACAGTATATCATTCAGGCGGCGCGTCTACTGCCATCTAGCGGGTGGAGGTGAAAATGCTCTTGGCGAGCGCTGCGGTACAGTATACCATTCAGGCAACGCGTCTACTGCCATCTAGCGGGTTGAGGTGAAAATACTCTTGGTAGCGCTGCGGTACGTTACCTATTGATTGTTTTGGCTTTCTGAACTAGGAAAGAAAACACAGCGCCCTTGAACAACAAATTGTTTCAATTCACTACTCGAACAACACATAGCACGTCCTACTACCCTTCCCGTTATTTTTGTGTACCCGCCTCGTCTCGCCGGCCGACGTCCACGGAGCCCCAAAGGACCAGCGACAAGACGCTTGGACGTCAGCTACCGCTCATATGGACGTCAGCTATCGCTCAAAGCTGGGCGGGGCCGAGCCAAGATTACTTTACTACCTCAGAGCTTTACTGCAGGGACCGAGCTATGTCCCGACGTTGACCGGGGCCCAGGGGAAAAACCAAAACAAAATAAGTTGATAAATCACTGTAGACGGCGCCCGTGTCGGGTTATAGCGGCGTAGGTGTCGCTGCTATCGGGTCCTGAGTGAGGTGCGGGTGGCGGGGGTCCCGCAACCCAGTTATCCGTTTGACTTGTTAACCTTTTTTCCTATCCTTTTTCAAACCTTGCCACAAGTGATAAGTTAGGTGTACTATTATACTCGCGGTATTGAGTGACGGAGATTCGATTGTCCGATCAGAGTGGTTTGTTACTGTAAAACTTGCATCTCTTATCGTCAAGGAGCGAGTTTCGATAATATTTGGTTCGGAGGCGGTATTTCATGTGTGATTATATTTCGTATATAAAAATATGGCTTGATTATGGTTAAAGTTTAGTTGACACGTCGATGTAAGAGATGCGACGCGAGCTTTTGAGTGACACGCTGGCAGGTCACGTGACCTAGCCGAGCTGTGGCGCAGTTTCCGAGCGGCGTGTGCGCTCTTTTCCCGCCCGCGAGTTACCTAAGTGTGGAACTACCCAGCGCCGAGCCGGCCGGATGACGTCACACCACGGCCAGTGCCGGCGCAGCGGCAGACTGGCCGAGATTGACATGGTCTTAACTTGGCGAAGAGGCATCGGACGCCAAACTTCTGCTGCAGCTATAAATCACATTTCATGTGTTTCTTCCATGTGTATGAGCTATTAAGTCCTTCGAATACCTAATGTGTAGGTGAGCGTACCTGCATTTAGCAGTGTGTACTATGCTATGTGGATTGAAAACTGGGGGCACATCCGACACACTGCGCAATGGATTCCGATATTGCTTGGCTGATTCTGGCTTTGTGTCTTCGCACGAACCATTGAAAGGGAGGACGTCATTTTTAAAGGTTGTCAGGTGCACTCAAACGTTTTAATAAGCAACTGCTGATTGAATTTCTGGCGAGGGGTGGTGGAACGTTCTGTTCACAATTGAGTATCTACCTACCTAGTGCCTACCGACATTGGCAAATAACTTGGTCGCGGTCAATTAGGCATGATTCACGAAGTCCTTTATCTTTTATTAGACTTATTAAGCCCAATGTGCAACATTTGCGTCTTTTCGCGTTGCATTGGGTAGCAAATGAGAAAATCTGCCTCTTCTCCACAGCCCTCAATTCAAGAAACCGTCCTTTTCCTTATCACACCATTCCATAACATAATTTTCAAACATGGGTATCCTCCCCACAAAAAAAAAAACTGAAGCAGTTTCCTTCGGCTCCAATGCGCCGCTCGCCCAGGGAGACGGAAGTGTTATATTCTCGGCGGTCCAGTCTGCATTCTGCAGCACAATTAAATTTGGCGGACCCCCAGCGCACGACTGAACGATTCGTATTGTTGTGAGTGACTGTGACGACAGCAAATGAATTCACTGGTGGTTTCGGAATAATTAACAGGCGGCGCAGCCCAGTGCCTCTTACAATGAATTACAGTGGCGAATGCACTATTGCAGAGAAGAAATGGATTGAGCAGATGCCCAACCTCGCTGTATTATCAACTAAACATTAGATACGCTTTACATTTTAATCAGGCAATCATGGAAACAAACGACTTGCGAGTCGCGACCCTTCCACCTTACATTACTCGGCAGAATGTCCCTGAGTCGGCTAATCTACACTGCATCTCTTCAAACCCTAAGTATTTTACAATTTACCACTCAGCTATGCAACAGGCTTATAATTCACTGCTAAAGTCTCAACTCCTTTTCCCCTATCATCTTTTTGGCACCGTCAATCGCCATCTGCGCTGCCCACTGTCCAGCAAATAATCCGGCCGTCTCCAATCCTCTGGCAGGGGCTTCCAAACTCAAGCGAACTCGCCGAAGTTTCGCCATTCAATGCGCAGGATCTGTACAATTGAGTTTGAGAGCCTCTGGGTTGGCTCGGCGCGCCTGCGCTGCGCCGTTGGTCCGGCCAAGTACGCGAGTGACGTCATGCTATAAGCGTCATCCCCCGACCAAAGTCACCAATCAGAGCCCTAGAATCGACTTGTAGTTCCACACTTAGGTAACTCGCTTCCCGCCCGACCTTCATGAGGGGTGGATGCGTGTGTCCCAGCGCGACGCTGATGAGTAAGTTTGACTATATAGGATTTGGGAGCACTTCAATGTTGAATGTAATTTTATTTCAGTGTAAACCAGTAAATTCGTATATGCTTTAATTAGCTTTCTATGCTTATTTCTTTGATATCGTATATTCTTGTACCTCAAGTGCGCCATTTAAAAATGTTTCAATCTTCGTAGGTGCTCGGCTCGCTCCGGTTGGCCCGGGGACGTGTAGGCCAGTCTATAGCTGTGCGCTTTCCCCCGTGGCTGGAGCCGAGAGCGGTCTCGTGGCCGGGGCGTTTGAGTGGCCGGCCCCTGACGGCCCAGAGTGCGGCGGTGCCGCTGTTGACGAGTGGCACGCACAGCGGAGACGAGGAACAGCCGGTAGGAGCTAGTGTTTATTATGTTCTGCCATTGTCGATATGTTGAGTTTAAGAACGCTGTAACGTAATATGTACAGTTTATCAAAAGGTCGACTGTTTCGGACGGAATTCAGTGTGGACTGTGGTTACTGATGGGAGATTTGGTACTGACCTGTGTACCCCTGTGTGTGCGTGCGCCTCCCACAGTAACAAGGGCAATAAAGGTCCTTCGTCAACGGCTCGTCTTTCGGCGCTCCGCGCTATTCAGCCACGTGGTGGCTGCTACAGTGGCGGCTGTGCCATCTACAGTTACGGCTGGAGTCTGCTGGGCCGTCTGCTGCGGCTGAGGTCTGGACTGCAACTGCGTGCTGCGGTCGACCACTGCTGCCTCCTGGACTGCCGCCAGCGGATGATGCGCTTCACCGTCGTGGAGCTGCTGGATCCAAGATCGGGCTCCTCCTGGTGGAGTGAAGCGGGGTGGTCCGAGCTGCAGTGGGTGAGGTGCTGTGCCTGAGCGGTAGCCAGTGGGCGCTGCGGAGTGCAGGTTGCGGTTGGTGGGCCGTGGTGGTGCTGCGTCTGCAGCTTGTGGCCACAGTGAGGTGATGTGCGTCAGTGGTGGCCAGTGAGGTTTGGCGCGTGAGTCACGGTTGGTGTGGTGACTGGTGAGGCTCTGCGTGGGCTGGCGGAGCCGGGGGCCGCGCTGTGCTGCTCTCGAGTGCTGTGTCCGACGACTGGCTGGTCGACTGCTGCGGCCTGTGTGGCTGCCCGACCTGCCCGCCCGGCGTCCAAGTCGTCTCTGGCGACTGCGCCCTGCAGTCCTGGAGCTGCTGCGTCTGGCGGCCGACTGGTGGGCTGCTGAGGAGCGACAACGTGGAGCGGTTTCGGTGAGCTGTGGTCCAGGGGAGCTGAACTTGTTGACCTTGAGGTTGGGGATAGGTTGTGTAGTGGTGCCCAGCCGGCCCTAGTCCCTGTGACTTGATAGTTAGTAGTGAGTTTCAGTGCTGAAGTGTTTTTAGGCTGTGTCGTACTGTGTTTTTAATATTAGTTAAGGTGTTTAGTTTGTAAGTTGGATCTGGTGGTCCTTGATCCCCTCTCGTCGGCTTCTGTATCCTGTGATCCTGCACATGATGGCGCCGCCCAGTAAGGAGGATCTTGGTAGACTTAAGTTGACTGAGCTCCAGCGCGAGCTCGAGGCTAAAGGCTTAGAACCCACAGGTAAGAAGTCTGAGATGGTAGATAGGCTGTGGGCAGCTATGCAGGACCCGACGGAGTCTCCACGTGTTGAGAACAAGGTGGACGTTAGGGAACCCCCAGGTGAGACTCAGCCTATCTCTAAACCGAGTGCAGAGATGCTGATGGTGAAACTTAAACTGATAAGGGAACGACAGGCTGTAGAGGAGAGTAGGCTGAAGGTTAAGGCTCAGGCAGAGCAGGATGAGCTGAGGCTGCGGACTAGGGCAGAGCAGTTGGATGTTGAGATTCAGCTGGCCGAGCTGGGCCAGGTGGATGAGTCAGCACTGGAGCCTCTTCGGGTGACAGTGAGTGAGACTTCGGTGACTCCAGTTGGGGCTGATGCCCTTTCAGCGCAGGTGAGGCGTTCACTGCTCCCTCCTGCCGAGCTCCGTCCGTTCTCGGGAGCGGTTGAGGAGTTTAGGCTCTTCATCAGAGCGTTCCAGTCCAGGATTGCTAGTCGAACGGACGACCAGGGGGAACTGCTGTATTACCTCGAGCAGTATACCCGCGGGAAAGCTAATCAGCTGGTCAGGAGTTGCCTCCACTTGGGTGATGAGGGCTACAGCCAGGCTGTGAAACTTCTCGAGTCTCGATATGGAAATTCCCTCAGACTGATCGATTCGTACGTGGAGCGGATCGAACAGTGGTCGCGCCTGCAGTCTGGGGATGTTGAGGGGCTTGACAGATATGCTCTGTTCCTAACTGAGGTAAAAAATGCGATGTCTGGCGCCACCATGGGCGAGTTCGAGCACCCGTCTACCCTCCGCTTGATCGCGTCTAAGCTTCCAGTGTATCTGCAGGACCGGTGGCTCCGAGAGGCCGACAGATTGTCTGAGAGTGGTAAGAGGATTACTTTCTCAGACATGGTTAGCTTCGTCGCAGCAGAGGTGCGAGTGAGGAGGAGTCCTCTTTTCGGTCCAAGGCCTGTCATTGCCGGACGCGGTGGTGAGGCTGGAGCGCGGCATAAGGTGAGCACAGCGAAGGTGAGCGAGCCCGGGGTGCAGAAGTGTGTTTTCTGCGGGGCGGCGCACCGTCTGGAGGGCTGTAAGGATCTGCTTCGTAGACCTTGGGAGGAGAGACGACGGGTGTTGATGAGAAATCAGCTGTGTTTTGGCTGCCTGAGGAGGGGACACAGGGCTCGGTCTTGTAGAAAGCCGCTCCGGTGTGGTGTCTGCAATGGGCCCCATCCCTTGGCGATGCACAGGGAGCCGAGCTCAGTCTCTGCCCCCATCGAGCAGCAGCGTGCGGCTCAGCCGCCCGGCAGGGGGTCTGATTCTTTGCGCGCGGGACCCATGACCGGCGGGATGGGAGCAGCTGGTGACCCACCTGGGGCGCAGATGAGTGGTGGTGTTTTAAGTGCGAGCTTGGGTATCCGCGGCGCGGGCCGGACGGCGCTGCCAGTGGTTGCTGTGCGCCTCCGGGGTCCCACGGGGCTGGAGGTGGTGGTGAATGGGTTCTTGGACTCTGGCTCGTCAGGTAGTTTCTTGACTGAGTCGCTGGCGCGGCGTTTGAAGGTGAGAAGGGATGACACTTCCATCTCCATCGAGACGGTTGGGAACGAGCGGAGGGTGATGCAGACCTCGCTGGCCTCTGGGTTGGAGGTCTGCGGTCTGGACGGAGCAGAGTTCCTTCCCCTGCCGCCGCTCCTGACTATCGACAGGATCCCTGTGACACAGTCCGATCGGTGCCGGGTGAGTGAGCTCAGAGCCGCTGCCCACCTGCAGGGTGTGGAGCTCCATGAGGTGGATGCCCCAGTGGAGTTGCTGCTCGGCTCCAACTGCGCTACTCTGATTGTTCCCAGAGAGGTGAGGTCTCCGCCTTCCGGTGAGGAGGGCCTCTGTGGTGTGAGGACGTGTCTTGGCTGGTATGTAATTGGTTGTGGTGGTTCCCCGGCGACAAGAGGTAGGATGTCTGTCAACCTGCTGCGGGTTCACGACAGCTGTGTCCCTGACCGTGACTCAGAGTGCGTCTTTAAGGTCATGTATGAACATGAGTTTAAGGATCTTTCCGACGACAAGGAGTGCCTTTCCGTGGAGGACAGGGAGTGGCTGTCTGACTTGCTCCCACAGGTCAAGAGAGACGAGGAGGGGCACTTCGTGATTCCACTTCCTAAGAAGGATTTCGACCAGTTGCCGGACAGCTTTCCGATGGCGTCCAGGAGATTGGATTCTCTTCGGAGGCGCTTCAGGTCTGATCCGGACTATTTTGACGCGTACCGACGAGTCATTTCGTCACTGGTTGATGACGGCTACGCAGCTCCAGTGCCAGACGGTGAGGTTGGAGGAGGGCCGGTCTGGTATCTTCCTCACCACGGCGTGCAGGAGCCCGCGAAGGGAAAACTGCGCGTGGTTTTTGACTGCGCGGCCCGGAGCCATGGCGTGTGTTTAAATGACTTACTGAGAGGGGGTCCGAACCTGACAAATCCGCTTCTCGGGGTGCTCTGTCGCTTCCGGGAGGGGCGTGTCGCGTTCACATGTGACGTCCAGTCTATGTATCATCGAGTGCGTGTGCCGGAAGCAGATGCTGATCTGCTGAGATTCCTGTGGTTCCATGATGACGACCCAGAGGGTGACGTGCAGGTGCTGAGGATGAGGTCGCACGTCTTCGGAGCGGTGTCAAGTGGCAGTGTGGCCAGCTTCGCGCTGAGCCGCTGCGCAGAGGAGGGTCGCGAGCAGTTTCCTGAGGCCGCTGATGCTCTACTTCGTAAGACGTACGTAGATGACGCTCTATGTGCTGCTGACTCCGTGGAGGAGGCTGTGAAGCTGGCACGTGACCTGAAAGATCTCTGCAGGACCGGTGCATTCAACATGACTAAGTTCACCAGCAACCGTTCAGAGTTTCTGAAACAGATTCCGTTTGAAGACAGAGGTAAGCAGGTTAAGGCAGTGGATTTAGATAAGGACGCTCTGGGCTCTGAGCGTGCGCTTGGACTGAAGTGGTCTGTCGAGAAGGACTCTTTTGTTTTCCAGTTCAACGACCGGCACAAGCCGGTGACGAGGCGCGGCATACTGTCCACCGTAAGTTCGGTGTTTGACCCTCTCGGTATCGTGTCGCCAGTGACCCTGCTCGGTCGAGTGCTGCTGCAGAGGCTGTGTGCGGTTTCCTGTGGGTGGGACGAGCCTCTGTCTGATGCCTTGACGGGGGAGTGGGAGGAGTGGCTGGCCGGTGCCAGGGAGCTGGACAGTGTTCAGCTGGAGAGGTGTATCGTGGGCCCGCCTGGAAAGGTGTTAAGCACTCAGCTACATGTCTTCGCTGATGCTAGCGAGACTGCGTACTCTGCAGTGGCATACCTGAGAAGGGAAGTTCGTACCCCGGACGGGGAGGTCCGGTGTTTTGTGACGTTTCTCTTGGGTAAGTCACTTGTGAATCCCGTGCGGTTCGTGTCTGTGCCGCGGCTCGAGCTAGCCGCCGCAGTGCTGGCCGTGAGGGTGAGACGGGTGCTTGAGAGAGAGCTAGACACCCAATTCGACTCTTTCCACATGTGGACTGACAGTATGGTAGTACTGGCCTACGTCAGGAACCGGACGACGAGATTTAAGACTTTTGTGGCAAACCGGTTGGCGTACATCCATGACGGCTCTAAAGTGAGTGACTGGGCGTATGTGCCTTCGACAGCGAACCCAGCTGATGTTGGATCTCGTGGCTGTCAGCCGGCGGGACTGAAGCCGTGGCTGAGTGGACCGGATTTTCTTCTCGGGGGCCTTGATGATAGGCCTGAAGAGCCAGCTGTGTCAGCAGCTATTCCCGACTCTGAGGTAAAGTCTTCGCCTGTAGCCCTGGTGTCGCTTGCCGCCGGTCCCGAGAGCCCTTTCGATCTACTGATCAGAAGTTTCTCGTCCTTTTTTCGACTCAAGCGAGCGGTGGCGTGGTATCGTCGCTTCCTCTGTGTCCTGCGTGACGGCTCTTTCCGCAGATGGTGTCTGGCGAGAAGGAGAGGCCTGAGGCGGCGCGGACACGGTGAAAGGACTGACCTGACCGTGTCAGATCTGTGCCGGGCAGAGCGTGTTGTTTTGCGGCACGCCCAGAGGGACCTGGCTGATTTTCCGAGAGAGGGGTGTGACGATGGCCCAGTCGGAGTGCCTATGAGCAGTCCTCTGACGAAGCTGCGTCCGCAGATGCTGAACGGCCTGCTGGTCGTGGGAGGCCGACTCGGTCGGTCGGAGAGTGTTTCCGAGAGCGCGAAGCACCCAGTGATTCTGCCCCGTAAGAATCACGTGACCCAGCTGTTGATCCGAGAGGCTCATGAGAGGGTGGGCCATGAGGGCCGCGATCATACTTTTTGGGAGGTCCGGAAACGTTTCTGGGTGATAGGCGCTGGTCCTGAGATTCGGGGACTCATTCGCAGATGTGTAACGTGCAGGAAGGTGAACGCGCGGCCTCAGAAGCAGCTCATGGCAGACTTGCCAAAGGAGCGCGTGTCAGCCGATACACCGGCATTCTCGTCAGTGCTGCTTGATGTGTTTGGGCCGATCTTGGTTAAGACCGGGCGGACCGAGCGGAAACGCTACGGTCTGATGTGTGTCTGTGTCGTGACACGAGGCGTCCATGTTGAGATTCTGGATTCGTTGCGCACAGACTCGCTGATAAACGCCATTCGTAGGATCAGCGCTCGCCGGGGTCAGATCGTTCAGATCAGGAGTGATATGGGGACGAATCTGACCGGGGCCGACAGAGAGCTCCGCGAGGCGCTGAGCGAACTCAGTCACGGTGATTTGCAGCGTGCCGCGCTGAAACAGGGCATTGACTGGCAATTCAATCCCCCCACAGCTTCTCACTTCGCAGGTGGCGTTGAGAGGCAGATCAGAACATTCAGGAAGGTATGGCGGTCCATGCCTACTCAGCAGCGTCTGGATGACGAATCGATTCGCACGCTGTTTTGCGAGATCGAGTCTGTTATGAACAGCCGGCCACTGACTTACGTATCGACTAGCTCCGGTCAGCTGGAGCCTCTGACCCCGGGGCATCTCCTATTTCTGAGGAGCAGTGCCGGACCGATACCCGGAGAGTTTTCAGAGTCCGATTCGCTATCGAGACGTCGATGGCGACACGTGCAGTATTTAGCCCAGCAGTTTTGGTATCGCTGGAGACGTGAATACCTGCTTTCTCTCCAGGCGCGCCAGAAATGGACGCGAGAGTCGAGAAATGTGCAGCCGGGAGATGTGGTTCTCCTAGCTGACCAGAACGTGCCGCGGGGACTGTGGCGGCTAGGAAGGGTAGTTAAGGCTTTCCCCAGTCAGGACGGACTCGTGAGAAAGGCTCTAGTTCGGACAGGTGAGTCCACGTACCTGAGACCGATCCACAAGATGGTATTGGTCAGTTCTGAATCTGACCTGGATTAGTACCGTGCGGGGTCAGATGTGTGCGAGAGTCTGAGAGCCTCTAGTTTAAGACTTAGTGTAAGGTGTCAACGTAAATAGATTCTTTACGAGCTAGAACCTGTTTGCGACAGACTAGTCTGTTTGTTTTTGCCAGCAGGTTTGTTTGTTTTTTGTTTTTTGCCAGCGGGTAGGTTTTGAGGTGCCAGACTGTTACGTGTGATTAGATTTAAGTGTCCATGTAAACTCGGCTAGCTGCCCTGGCAGTCGAGGGTTGGTTCTCACCAGCAGGTAGACGGTGAGTGGGTTCACCCGGGCGCCTTTGTGTTGATTCGAATGACAAGATATGGCCATTCGAATGGGGGAGTGTAGACGGCGCCCGTGTCGGGTTATAGCGGCGTAGGTGTCGCTGCTATCGGGTCCTGAGTGAGGTGCGGGTGGCGGGGGTCCCGCAACCCAGTTATCCGTTTGACTTGTTAACCTTTTTTCCTATCCTTTTTCAAACCTTGCCACCAGTGATAAGTTAGGTGTACTATTATACTCGCGGTATTGAGTGACGGAGATTCGATTGTCCGATCAGAGTGGTTTGTTACTGTAAAACTTGCATCTCTTATCGTCAAGGAGCGAGTTTCGATAATATTTGGTTCGGAGGCGGTATTTCATGTGTGATTATATTTCTTATATAAAAATATGGCTTGATTATGGTTAAAGTTTAGTTGACACGTCGATGTAAGAGATGCGACGCGAGCTTTTGAGTGACACGCTGGCAGGTCACGTGACCTAGCCGAGCTGTGGCGCAGTTTCCGAGCGGCGTGTGCGCTCTTTTCCCGCCCGACCTTCATGAGGGGTGGATGCGTGTGTCCCAGCGCGACGCTGATGAGTAAGTTTGACTATATAGGATTTGGGAGCACTTCAATGTTGAATGTAATTTTATTTCAGTGTAAACCAGTAAATTCGTATATGCTTTAATTAGCTTTCTATGCTTATTTCTTTGATATCGTATATTCTTGTACCTCAAGTGCGCCATTTAAAAATGTTTCAATCTTCGTAGTTGCTCGGCTCGCTCCGGTTGGCCCGGGGACGTGTAGGCCAGTCGATAGCTGTGCGCTTTCCCCCGTGGCTGGAGCCGAGAGCGGTCTCGTGGCCGGGGCGTTTGAGTGGCCGGCCCCTGACGGCCCAGAGTGCGGCGGTGCCGCTGTTGACGAGTGGCACGCACAGCGGAGACGAGGAACAGCCGGTAGGAGCTAGTGTTTATTATGTTCTGCCATTGTCGATATGTTGAGTTTAAGAACGCTGTAACGTAATATGTACAGTTTATCAAAAGGTCGACTGTTTCGGACGGAATTCAGTGTGGACTGTGGTTACTGATGGGAGATGTGGTACTGACCTGTGTACCCCTGTGTGTGCGTGCGCCTCCCACAGTAACAAGGGCAATAAAGGTCCTTCGTCAACGGCTCGTCTTTCGGCGCTCCGCGCTATTCAGCCACGTGGTGGCTGCTACAGTGGCGGCTGTGCCATCTACAATCACCGTTCCATGCTTCTATCCTCAGGATACTGAAATCCTCCTCCACACCGCAACCCCCTCCGGGCTGGACAGGCAACTTTATCTCATGCGGGCTGCTCCCTTGGAGCGGCACCGCTGCTCCCGAGGGAGCGCACCCCGTAGCCGGGTGCAGTGAGTGCCTTGGGGCTGGGTGGCCTGTCTTCGGACGGGCTCAGCCCCGGCGACTCACTAGGGTGCCTGCCCAGACCAATGTCTCCCCCTATATCCTATCATCCTCCCGGCTCTGAAATGGTCTTACTGGACCGAAAGGGCCTAACCCAACAAAACAAAAAACAAACAAAAGGAATAAATCGTGCAGTAGCACACACTGGCGGATCCAGAAAAGGTGTTATTGGACGCTGCAGGGGCATATCCCCCCTTCAAATTCCAAAAACGCCCCTATCGCAAAGTGGGCAGGAGACATCTGGGGGATGGTCAAGGCCTGGCGCTTGTTAACATTTTAGGACGTTAGGCCCTATCAACACTCAGTGAACATTGAACAAGGATACAGATGGATACAGATATCGTGCGGATTCATATACTATCTTTATCATGCCTCCACCCCCCATCTACGCAGTATTTTGGTGATAAAGCTAATCATCCCTAACCAGACCTGACCACTACCTATGACTAACCAAGTTCAACCGGTTGACTTCCATCAAATAATTATCAATCTTTAGAACACTCAATGCTTGCATGTTGTGCGGCGATGTAACCAAAACAATTGTCTGAAGTTAACCAGCGAGTTGCTGGGGGGGGGGCGTTAAACGCCCCCACTTTTTTCGCTGGGCCATAGCATAAAAACGGCGCGCCGCAGGCGCGCCAAATTTTGGGTACCTGTAGGGAATTGATTGAAGTTTATTGTGACAAAGTTTCAAAAAAATCGGTCGGAAAATTTTTGAGATATCGAGGTTTTAGTGACGTCATGATTTCTGAGTTTTCGACCAAAAACGGCATATGTTCAAAAAATCATATAAAATCACAAATAGACATACAGACATTCCGTTAACTCCATTAGACTGCCAATACCTTAAACGATCAAATGGCTATCTTCGATTATTGATTATTGTTCCGCATTTTCCAAAATCTTGAACTGAACCTTGGCAATTTCTCGTGACTACTTCACGACCATGATACATGCATTTCTTAAATTGAACTTTTTGAGCCAAACATGTACACATATGACAAAATGAATGTCACCATCGTGTTCTACGCCCCAAATTACCCATTAAACATGTGTCACAGGCTGCGAATATCAGTTTTGATTTTCGGGGATATGTGCCTACCCGGTTGACCTGACCTTGACCCTGACCTATGCTTGATTGACCCCTACATGAAGCTGACACTCTTGTAGAACTTATATGATGGATTGTGCTCCGTTTTGACAGAGTTTATGACGAGAGACGCCCATTGCGAAGTCCTGAAGTCCATGCTACTGAAAGCCCGATTTTAGGTGTTTGACCTGACCTTGACCCGACCTGTGACCTCAAAATTCAACTTTAAAGTACTCATCTGAAGCGTTTCGTCGCGTTCTTTCGTCTGCCGCCTCGTGCGTTTCGCTGCGCCTATTGGTTCTCGAGTTATCGGCTGGGGGCGTTTAACGCCCCCCCCCCCCCCCAGCAAACGGTGGGTGGCGAAGTACCTCAGCAACTGCCGGGTTAATTGTTCATTTTTCTGTTCACTCCAATATTGTGAGCTCGGTATAATCACGACCACCACATAGTCTTACTGAACTGTTCCATTTCCTCGTCAGTATAAACCACAGCCCATCGTCAGGACCCGGGTCTCCCGTGATATAACCCGTCTGTGTTGGCGGTATGACCACACACAAACTGCAGTGCCGCGGGCGGTGTGGCGCCGGCATGGTGCACCGAGACAGGTCACCACGAACCTGCCACGAACGGCCGGACGGTAATGCACCGGCACTGTGCACCACGGCCGCTGTCCAGCCGTATAGAGAGACTGTGTAGGATAGCCTGTTTTATCACAGCCAGCGCTGGCTGTGATCTCCGTTCTCCGTTCACATACACCGCTCGGTGTATGTGAACGGAGTTTGAAACAGCCGAGATAGGCCAACACAAAACTGTATTGAACAGATGAAATTATGAAACATCAACATAACGCTCCATGAGACATACCATTGCAAAAAGAGCATCCCATTTATCGATAGGGCCCAGTAATACAATGAATACATCTAATCACAAGGTTCTTCAATAACGTAGCGCAATGTCATCGAGTCGCGCGTGTGCGATTAAATCCAAAATTGATCAAGCGGCATGCACCAACGCCCCTAATCAACGATCACAGCCAACAGTGACATTGTCATAATAAGTTGATCCACCGGCAATAGCATGCCAATATAAAATCACAATAGGCTCGTAACAACCACCCCGCCTTTACAGTTACACACACATCAGCTGGTCACCGAACACCTCTCACTGTGTTTCCTCAGTTCACGGGGCGCCACAAATCCTTTACCACACCGCTCACACCTGTGTCGGTAGTCGTGTGTGTGCCGGTTGGTGACGTGTCTTCTCATGTCCGACTGCTGCGTGAACCGTGCCGGGCAGAAGGAGCACCCGTACGGCCGCTCCCCCGTGTGAGTCCGCATGTGTTCGGTGAGGCGCCGTCGTGTAGCGAACCGGGCCGAGCACACCTGGCACCGGTGCGGCTTCACACCGTTGTGTGACTGCATATGTCTGGTGTAATTAGACAGATGGTTAAACACGGCGCCACACTGCTCACACTGACGCACCTTCTCCCCGGTGTGGATCCGTCTGTGGCTCGTTAGGTGACTGTTCTGTGTGAACGCCTTCCCACAGACGTCACACACGTACGGTCTCTGGCCGGTGTGTGTAAGGCGGTGACGGGTCAGATTACCGAGCTGAGTAAACGTCCTGCCGCACTCGTCACAGCGGTGTGGCCGCTCTCCCGTGTGGGTGAGGCGATGACGACTCAAATCACACACATCGTTCGTCGAGTACTCACACCACTCACACTTGAACCGTCCGTCCCTGCCGATGTGCCCGTGCCATTTCTTCACATGCCTGTCCAGCCGCTCCTGTCCCAGACAGGCGTAGTCGCAGTGCACGCAGCGGACCGTGGAGCCACCTGGCGAATGACGCTGATTACCATATACCAACATACATGGATGTGTGTACTATCAACATGTGACTTCATGTGCTTTTTTTTAAGCTCATAGTTGCGCTTGTCTACTTATCTATTAGATGAGGCGACCAGTAATACAGATGTCGCTCTAGTCAGTCTACCTTTGGGGATGGCAGTCAACCAGTCATGCCTCGCGGAAAAATGACATGTTTCAAGTGTTTTACTGATTGGCCAATTAATACTGAGCATTTTGTAATATATCTATTCTATCGAAAATGCTATATTCGGTCGTTCACCTGACACGAAGGCTGCTGGCGGCGGGGCGGCGGCCGGAGCCTTCCTGAACGTCTGCACGTTGATGTTGAGCTCCCGGGCGTAGGCGTCTCCGTAGTAGACCAGCAGCTCGGAGCCCTTCACAATCGGCTTGTACGTCCTGTGGCCATGACGAAAAAGGTGCAACTATGAGTCAGAAAAATAATGAGCGAGCCCTGAATTCCGAATATTGTGCGCATTGGTCACGCTAACAAATCACGTACCGAATAAAATCACTGCTGCCAAAAAGGGTCACAGTGCAATACAAATTGGCACATCACGAATAACCACAATGGAAAGAGCAGTTATACAGCTCAGCTGTTATTATTACCGTGTAATGTTCCAATAATTCATCAGTTGTTTCTGACTGCAATGACCCAACATCCAATGAACAATGAGGCCGATAACTGTATAGCTGAAAGACAGCTACCGTGAGAAGCAGTGAACACTGAACAAGTTTCTATAGGGCAAGGTCTGCGCTAGACACGTTCACCGTTACCTGTAGTATATCTGGCCCTTGTACTGGAAGGCGATCAGGTTCTGCTCCTGCTCGAAGCGGGCACAGTTGACCAGCCGCAGCCAGTTGCTGGAGCTCGAGTCGCCGGCGTTCACGTAGTGGTGCACGCGCCGACACTTTTTGATCTGCAAAACCGTTAGTGTGCATCAGTCAAAACTCAACGGCCGTTTAGCGTTTAATTACGTACTTACAACACAAGAAGTTAAGAGTCACTAGTCATCGAGGGTGTCAGCATCACAGAGATGTTGAAGACTGTACTGCTTCATCTACGACAGAAATGTCAATCAGACACCAGCTTTTCTAACACCAAACCAGTACATAATACGACTTGGGGATCTGGTGTTTCACTTCGTTCTGTTCATGAACTACACCTAAGCAGTGCACACACAAATCACAAGCACACACAAAGATCTAAACTGGCTAAAAATTGATTTCCTCTCAATTTCCCTGGCTGGTTCCGTTTTGGTGTTTCCCGATAAGCGCGATGGATATTTAGTTTCGAAAATACATCCCACGCAAACCCGCCCCAGACCCGCCGCTCTCTCACCTCCCAGCTGTAGCCCGAGTCGGTGGCCTGGCGTCGGTCGGCGGTGACGATACCCTCGTAGGGTCCGAACCTCAGCCGCGCCGGCAGGTCCTTCTCCGTCCAAATGCCTGTGTGCCGGTGAACGGGGGGGGGGGGGGGGATACAGGTCAGTGACGCCGGTAGTAATTACTGCCCATAGGCTAAACACAGCCTGCCGAGAACAGAATCAGGAGGCACTGGCAATGTATAATATACTTCAGAACGCGATAAGGAATACATCACAGCCGCAGGATATTTAATGTGGACAACAAGAGATGGAGGAACTGTAGGAAACGGCATGACAACACTTTATTGACGCTACAAAAGAACGATTCCTATCAATACAGTCCTAGAAGATCGTGAAACAATAAAGAGGGGATCCATAATCCAGTGATCAGGATAAATAATGAGGATTTTACCGGTGTTGGCTCCGGGGATTTTGGACCGGCCCGGGTTGAGGAACTCGGGACGGGTCTTGAT